TCCACCATTACCATTTCCAATTTGGGGCCCTTAATAATTCGTTTGCAACCACTGTCCAGTTCCCCAAAAACATTTTGTGCTATGAAGAAGATATCAAAACACATTCCTAATTCAATTTTCAATAGTGACACAGCGGCGTCTTTTATGCTTTTGATGCTCAATTTGTAGTGGTATGAACAACTTAGACAATAAAACATGTCAATTTTTATTAATTATTTATTGTTTGGGTCTATTCGACCGCACAACCATACAGGCCATTAAAAAATGTATGCCAAAAATATGATATTATTTTTAGAATAATTTACAGTAACATTTCTTAAATGTTATTTAAAGATATTCTAATACAGTAAGGTCTTGATAATACAAACCACATTGTTTTATTTTTACATTAAATAGATAATCTTCTTTTATTGAAATTTCTTTATAAATCTTTCCTATTTGCAAACAACAATCGCACATTTTGAAAATTGTTTTTTTTTTTTTAAGTTGTATATTACTAAAACACCCATACAGGGTGTAATAAAAAAAACTATAACAAAGTCAAACGCCATAATTTTTACATTTTTTAAAATTTTATTAAATGAAAGCAAAAACTGTCGGAAATAGCATCAAATTTTAGAATAAGTTTAGATTTCTTAGAATTAATCACCTTTGGCACGAATTGTGGCCTTCAAATGGCCAATGAAACCGTCACAAGCTGCCCGAATGTTGCTCTGCGGTATTCTGCCCCATTCCCGGCGAAGCGCTTGCTTGAGGTGATCGACACTTTGGTATTTTTTAGTGCCAACCTTGCTTTCCAAAATACTCCTGACACAATAGTCCTACGGATAGGTATCCGTATATTTTGATGTGGGCTGGAAATGAAGCGAGGAACCTCATGGTTGGCGCGTGCTGAGTCCTGTTGGAATGTCCAAGGTCTGCGGCCAAAATGTTTGCATGCCCAAAGCTTTAATATACCCTCCAGAATAGTTTCGCGATAATATTCGGCATTTATTCTGTTATGGCGGCCCACACCATCGCCATGGACGGCGCTTGAGTTCTGGTGGTGTAAAAAAGTTGTAATCATATGATTGCATGACTTTACTTTCTTAATTCTACCATGGGCCAAGCGAAGCAACTCTTTAGCTCTTTTGAGTCTATTTTCTTTCTGTTGCGGTGTAAATTCTTGCACTTTTTGGAATTTCAATGGCTTTGCCACGAGCTCATTCTTCAATATTTGCCGAATGGAATATTGCGATATGTTCAGCTCACGAGCCATTTTTCGGCCACTGCGACGCGGGTTTGGATAAAGTCGCTTTTTTACTTTTCGAACCATTTCTGCTGATGTTGCTGTTTTCTTCCGTCCACTTCCTTTACGTCGGGCTACGCTACCAGTATCACGGTAACGAGCGATGGTACGAGACACAAAAGATTTATTCACATTTATATGCTGGGGTGTTCTAACGATAGCCACTTGTGGTTTTCCAGACAAATACAAATAAATCATACTATCACGCTTGAATTTCATCACGAATAACTTCTTTTCCGGAAAGTTCTCACCAAAATGCTTTTCTGCGCTTGTAAACAATACAATGCGCTGTCTCTGGAACAATTTTAACGAGTGGCTTAGGAATGACAGCAGTCTGAAGTTGGTTGCAGTTTTTTCATCTCACCTAGTACACATATAATTTAATTATATATCGAAAAAAAATTAAATATTTTCAATATTTAAATATTGAGCCAAACCTGTGTAAACATGTAGTCACACAAAACCAATTGGTGAGACAACAAATGCCTTAAATGCCATGATAGACCACGGACCGAATTTGAGAACACTTAAAAACCTTACAATTTTCACTACCAGCAGGATGGTCACCAAAGGTTTGAGGGTCTTGTTCAGATCGTAGTGGGCAACCATCCATATTAATGTGGGAGTGATAATGTGTAAAGTATTCGATTCTAGACATTATTATATATAAATCCAACTGAATTGTGAACCTCTGATTCCAACCCACAACGCTTTACAATATATTTTGAAATCCTCCAAATAGCGTAATAATTTCACTTTACTCATACTCCACTCCAAAATATACAAGTTAACATGATTCTACTGTTGTATGTAGTGCAAATACTAAAATTTCTCTTCGGTAAGTATCACCTAAAAAAATAGTAAATTCTCACGATAAATTTAACTTTAGGTTACCATGTGACCAACATTTTTTTACATTGGAGCAATTTTAATACAAAAACGTCTTATCTTTCAACACGTACATGCGAAAACCACAACGTATTTAATTATTTTATGGTTTTGCAATTGTTGATATAGGCTGATTTCGAAAAGGCTATCTAAAGAAGAATGACCTCTTCATACAAAATAAGGCGGGAGCAATTCTTACTTATTGTATAATAAAAAAACACAAATTTAATACATGCAAATAAACAATTAAAGCAATTATTGAAGGAATTGCAAGTTAAAGTTTGATAATGCTCTAATTTGCACATTAATGGCATACTCGCATTTTAATTGGGATAGGCCATCGCTACTACGGCACATTTTATCTCATGTAATAAAATATTATAAAATGATAGAGTAATAATTGTATCAGAGCAGATATAATAATGCCGAACCATGAATGAATCGATTTGAATACTAAAATGTAGAAATATGCGAACATAAAATACGAAGAAGTACACCTGCGAGAGAAACACTTTGAAAGAACATAGCATAAATAACAAAGCGATAAGAAAAGTATGTGTGTTTTGGTATAGCTAAAAACATGCGTATTTTTATACCCTGTGCCATACACAGTAGTACATATGTACATGATAAAATTTAAGAAATATTCAAAAAATTCGAAGAAGTACATTCAACTGGGAGAGAACATAGCATAAATAACAAAGGCGTATTTTATGAAATTTTATAGAAATCGCTTCAGATATAGCTCACGTATACATGTTTCATCTGATTTAATATTAGCCACCAAAGCCTTTATACGCACTTCATAACAATGATATTCGCTACATGACATCAGATGCCAAATTTTTCAAAATAGGTTAAGATTAGATGTAGCTCCCATATATATTTCCCTCGTATTTGATGTAAATGATACATCAACTTCGCAAAGCTTTCATATGCCAATTGAGACTTATATGAAGCCTATGACTAAATGTAGATCAATTTGGTTGCAAATTGTGGATGAAACTTTTAAAATTAAGAATATGCTGAGGTATGGCAATATTAAGGTTAAACATAATAACAATTGGACTTATGGCCTCTGAGATCTAGGAACGACAAAATATAAATTATTTGGTTGGAAAATGCCCCAAAAATCTTTAAAGTGCTTCATATCGGGAGATACCATTACAATAATGTCTCTGCCCAAAACTTATAATACAGGGTAAGATTAAAAAACTGCAACCAACTTAAGACTGCTGTCATTTCTAAGCCACTCGTCCGACACTTGTTAAAATTATTCCAGTGACAGATCATTATATTGTTTACATGCGTACAAAAGTATTTTTGTGAGAATTTTCCAGAAACCAAGTTATTCGTGATGGAATTCAAGCATAATAAAGCACTCCAGCATTTAAATGTGAATAAGTCTTTTGTATCTTGTACCATCGCTCGTTACCGTGATACTGGTAGCGTAGCCCGACGTCAAGGAAGTGGGCGGAAGGAAACAGCAACATCAGCAGAAATGGTTCGAAAAGTAAAGAAGCGACTTGATCGAAACCCGCGTCGCAGTGGCCGAAAATTGGCTCGTGAGCTGACATATCGCAATATTCCATTCGGCAAATATTGAAAAATGAAATTCCAAAAAGTGCAAGAACTTTCACCGCAACAGAAAGAAAATAGACTCAATCGACCGTGGCATCAGAATAAATGCCCAATATTATCGCGAAAATATTTTGGGGGGTGTATTAAAGCCTTGGGCACGCAAACATTTTGGCCGCAGACCTTGGACATTCCAACAGGACTCAGCACCATCGCACTCAGCACGCGCCACCCAAGAATGGTTACAAAATTACGTTCCTCGCTTCATTTCCAGCGCACAATGGCAACCAAGCGCTTCGCCGGAAATGTGCCGAAATACCGCAGGGCAACACTCGGACAGCGTGTGACGGTTTCATTGGCCGTTTAAAGGCCATAATTCGTGCCAAAGGTGACCAATTCGAACAAATCTAAATTTATGCTAAAATTTGATACTATTTCCGACAAAAAAAAAATAAAAATTATGGCGCTTGACTTTCTTCCAGTTTTATTTATCTCCCCCTGTATACCTTAAATGGACCGATAAAGTTTATTTTCAATACGAAACAATTTAGAAACACTACAAATGTCTATGCCAATAAATTATCTTAAATATTTTGCGACCTCTTTCTTCATGTCAACATATAACAATACCATGTTATATCGACTTAGAATTGTTTGCATATCACGAATTAATAATAGGTCTCCGAATATATTGCTATAAACGACATGACAAAGTTAATATACCCTCCATCTAATGGTGAATGGCATTAACGAACAACAGTAGTAATCTGAATAACTGTGCCAATTTGTGTTTCAATTGTAACTTTTTTTTTCGAATGTTTCTGTTTTATTTTGATTTTTTTTTGTTGTTCGTACATATTTTCTGTTTGTGTTTAATTCATTAATGCTCATAAAAACTACGTGTTGGTATGTGTAAGAGAATCTTTCACCTTTTCTAAACAACGGCACATCTATTTACATAAAGAGAGAATGTGTGTGATTTGTTGTCATAAAAAACGGACGTGATTGAGCATCATTAGCTCCATTCAAATAATCTATCAACATTTTTAAAATCAGGTAATTTGCTGTATATAACCCACCATGAGAATTCTTTGTATTCTCAATTCCATACAAACTTTATAAACAAAAACAAAAAACTTTTTTTTTTGTTTAATAAAAACGTAATAAAATTATCAGCATATTTTATTTGTTTATATTCTAACAGTTTGACGATTTTACTACTCGTTAACTCGTATTTCGCTAAACGAATATGCTTAATTTAGTAGATATAACAATAGATTTACAATAATATAGACGACTTTTGTGTTTTATTACTTTTTTGTGATCCTCTAATGATAATACTAATTTTGAAATTTGTGGCAAGTGTTAGTCTCGTCTTGGTCCGTCTATAACTGTCACACTGTACTTAATAAAAAAATAAAAGAAACCTATGAATCTTGATGATAAAATAATTAAAAAAATCAAATAACTTAATTTCGTATACAAAACTTAAGAGAACATTAAAACATGACGTGTGTATGTGTGATTATTTTTGGGATGAATATAAATTGTGAAGTGGAACTGGTCTTCAAAGTGCCACCAAAGATGGCATTACAAATGAAAACAGAATGCCGGAGAATATGCCGGTAATCAACATGGCAGCAGCAAACATACCAGCGGTAATTTGATGTTTTGGCTGTACCGTTTGTGGGGCGTACATCATACCCAACGAGCTAAGGTAACCGGAACTGTAAGACATGACAATGGCAATTATCCAGTAGACCCATTCGTTTGTAATGAGCACGGGGATGGTGCGATCAACACCCTTGGGTAAATAGTTACACAACAGGAAGAGAGGTATAAAAACCACACGCAATATAACAGGAACACAAAGGAATCTTGGTTTAGGCCATTGGATCCAGGAGGTAGTTAAACTGCCCAACATAGCAAACAGGTTAAATGTCAAGAAACAGGTGATCGAGGCAAACAAATCCGGTGAAATAACAAAATCCGGGGCTACGGCTTTAATATCCGAGTGTACGGCTGGGAATACGGACAGGGTAATGAAGAACGTAAAGAATATATTGAACATTTGTGGCGATGCTTGCTTGAAGACCGTCCAGTAAGGCACTTTTGTTACTTCTTGTTGATTTGTCAACGGTTTCTCCTCCTTACGTCTGAGCATGGTGTGATAACGATAGAATTTATTCAGAGGCAATGCAAAGTAGGTATCGAAACACACCAAGAGCACCAACATTGCTGTGATAAAATAATAAATGGCCGAGGTGCGATGTGAGGAAAATATATAGGTACTGCATATTGACACCACCGAAGCAAACAGACCACTGATGTTTGAGCCCAACACTACAGCACCGGTGTATTTAATAGGCAATGTAGCTGCCATACCATAAATGGTGTTCTGATAAATACCATTTGCCATATTCAACAGCACCACACTGATCATGGTGATCCAAAAGAATGCAGCCTGCCAACTTGTCGAGTCCAGAATGGCCAACAGAACGGTAACAATGAAAATCAGCAATTCAAACAGGATACTATAAACAATGCGCTTTGTTAAATCACCTCCCAGATGCACAAAGATGTTCAGCCAGTTGAAAATCAAATTTGGGATTTGTGAAGCAAAACCAATGTACTGCATGAAACTACTGGCATAGACAGTGGTGCCATTACCACCATCCACAGGTGCCAACTTAAAGTCCTCGAAATAGCTTTTCGCCGTAATGAACATATTCCAGGGCATAAGTGTACCCAAACCGTGCAGCATAAAGATGATGAACACCAAACGCCATTTGTCCAGGGGCGGTTTAAGCGGCAGTTTTTCCTTATCCATACCCTTGAAATTTAAATCATCTTCGGGTAATTTTTGGGCCTCCCATGATGGTGTCAATGTTACTGGCTTTGAGTTGCTTAAAAAATGTGTTTTTTCATTATTCCGATCCATGATGTCGATTTGATGTTATTTTGGTGCTGACAAGAGGTTAAGTACTGTGGTGCTTGCTTCTGTTTCCGCACTATCTCCGCTCTCTAGCGTGTTGGGTGTATGCGAGTGGTGTTTGTTTTAGTATGTGCGTGCTGTGTATGTATGTCGTCTAGACAACCGCTCGAACGAATGTTAATGCACTCCGACAAGAATTGAATTTAGAATCGAGATACGAAAAATATTTGAAAAAAGAAAAACTAAACGCTACTGAAGAAGACACGACGGCAACAATGAAACCAAACACTGCAACGAGAAAAAAACCAAGAAATTTGAGAATTATTTATTTAATTAATACAAATATGCATAATCTCGGGTATCGCTATTATAATAACCAACCTTCTTATCGTTCGTTCGCTATTTTGTCATCCTCTCTCTAATAAGTCTCAAATTATAATGCCATCGACAAACTGAAATAAATACCACCACCCAAGTATTTACACTATGCTCGCGACGAGATTCCAAGATTAGTTAACAAACCCGTATAATCAGTGCTATCCGATGGCAGGCGGTCACAACACGTTGTATCGTTTAGGTTAAGGAACAAGTAAATATGCAGTAGCACCAACAACAACACAGCAGCAATCAAAAGTATCTGATATATGTTGTGAGCGATTTATTAGATTCGGTTACTATCTTTTGGTTAGCTGACATATCTAATCGAATCTAATGCGACGGATAATAATGAGCGATTACTGTTATATTGCCCGTTTGTTAGTGATTAAAGTTTGAAATTACTTTCGGGTTTTGTTTTCTTCATGCAATAAACTATGTTAGAGTGAAATGACAATTTTTTTAGAATACTACAACAAAAAATAATCTCTTTGAAAATGTTAATGCATAACAAATACAACAAACAAAATTATTTCTCTTTTGTTCTATGTTTTGCTGTAATGCCGCCATAACAATCGAAAATGGGTAATCGATTCGAATACGATAACAGCAATTATCAATAAGATATTATAATGCTGCGTTTACACAGAAGAAATGCACATGAAAAGACAACATCATTAGAAATTGTTTTATGTTGTGATACGATATATTTAAGCGATCTTGTGTGACAAGAGTATAATAACACATACAACTGTGCAGACGCTATGAGATTTGATTGACAATCACATTGACACAAGTGCCGAGACAATGAACTTTCAAACCAATTTTGAAATTGAGCTTTTTAAATGAAAATTTATTCAAATGTATAAAAATTGTTGAATAATGCATATCATAACAACCACCGATTGGCATCTTATAAGATATACAAATCCATATATTTTTGAAAAAAAAAAAAAACAATAAAATTTGGACACATTAATGTTCCGAAGTATTCATGATAGAAGAATATATGTAGTCGCATCGACACAGCTGCTGGGAGTTCACTGAGTGTCAAATTAATTTTGGAATTGAAAATATTGAATGAAAAAATATTGAAATTTGTAAAAATTGGTGAAAAATGCACGTCAAAACAACCTCTGATTGCCGTGGTGTAAGAAAACATATAAAAATCATCTTAAGTTTGGAAAAACATTTAAAAATTTTTGACATATCAATGTTCCCAAGGGTTGATGCATCTACCTGTGTTCTTCTACCATGCAAGTATTAATGCATCTACATGTATGCTTCTACAATGGTGTAACCGTTCACTTTTGTCAGTTACCGGGTAATCAAAAACATTTTCAGAGTTGATGGATTTTCAGCCGCTGTAAAATTAAATATCAAAATTAAACATGAATTAAGAATCTGTACCATTATCGATATTATGAAGGAAAACTCAGTTACCACAGTGAACATCTTTGGTGATTTCAAGTTCTGCCGCAGAGCAAATGCTAGCCAGTACAGAAAATAATCGTTCCAGTATGAATGTGGTGGTAAAATACAACTCTGATTGAATTCAATTTTTCTTTAGGAGAATGAAGAGAGCTATTGTACTAGCGTTTAGGCGATCATCAAGATTTGATTCTTAATTTATTTTTCGTAAACATAACAGCGCTAACTAAAATTCGGCGCATTCGGTCGACGGTGATTACAATTAATTTTTACAAATTTAAATAATTTTTTATTCAACATTTTCAATTCTAAAATTGGTTTGACAGTTCATTGTCCGAGCAGCTGTGTCGATGCGTCTACCTATATTCTTCTACAATGCTTTACTTCAACGACAAAACAAGAACCTCCAGTAGACGACTTAAACGGAAGTGAATGTTTCCCTGTGTTTTTTATTTTATCTATGCCTGCTCATTCAAAGTTGATGGATTATCAACCGCTGTAACTTAAAACAGCAAAATGAAACATGAATTAAGAAGTTGTACTATTATCGATATTATCAAGGAAAATCGGTTACCACAGTGAATATGTTTGGTTAATTCAAGTTCTGGAACGGAGAAAATAGTTGTGTTCCACAACCTGCAAATTAGTACTAATTAGCACTAATTCTGCTACGACGCGTTCCCGTACTCCAAAAACTAGCAAAACTTGCAGCTCTCTCGAGAAAAAAATGGCGCTGAGTGGTGCACATTTCTGCTTGTTTTAGCTACATGAATTTGGCCGAGCAGAAATGTGCATATTGTAAATTTGACATTTAATTGGTAGGGCTAACAAGGTTGAAAAATGTATTGATACATTTCAATAAAGAAAATGATCAACTTGAAAACTAAAGGAAAAACTAATATTTGTCGTGCAAAAAACAAAAAGAGAAAATATGGAGCAACTGATGTATTCACTTTTGGATGATTCCAGCAGTGAAGAGGACTGGCTGAATGAGGAATCAGATTATTAATTATTATTATAAATTATTAATTTTATCTTATCGTCTTCAATACTCATTTTTTAAATGTTGGCGCCCTTTTCAGTAAGGTTTCACCAGTCCGATTTAGGCTGTTTACTTTCGGAATTTTGACATTTTATCGCATTTCTGCTAATTTTCCGTTCCCTTATTTTTTGAGCAAACCTAAATGAGAATGACATTTCGAACTGTTCTCTCTTCTGCTAGTTTTACTACTAAAAAAGTACTGGAACACAACTAATGCTAGCCAGTACAGAAAATAATCGTTTCAGTATGTATGTTGTGGTAAAATACAACTCTGATTGAAGACAATTTTTCTTTAATTGAATGAAGAGAACTCTTGTGCTAGCGTTTAGGCGATTATCAAGATTTGATTCTAAATTCATTTATAGTAAATATAACAGCGTTACTTAAAATTCGGCGTACTCGGCCGACGTTTTGAATGAATTTTACCTGGATATGTGGGGCGTATGAAGTTTCAAAGTTTAATAATGGAAAAATTTTGTGTGTGCTGTAAATAGAAATGAATAATAAAAAAACATTTGCAAATGAAAAAACCAATTGGATGAATCATAAAAAGTATCATTTTTAAATTTTTTTTAATTGGTAGATGTTGAAATATTTAACAAAACATTTATATATTTATCTATTGATCGCAGTACTATACAACCGTTGCTTTGCAAATCATACGTTATGTTTTACTTCAACGTCAAAACAAGAACCACCAGAAGTGAATGTTTCCTTGTGTTTATTATTTTATCTATGCCTCCTCATTCAATGTCGATAACACAATGTTCAATTGGCTTAAAAAACTACTTTTTTACTCGCAGGATAAATCGGTTATCGTAGTAAAAACTTTAACAGTCTTGCAGTTCTGGAACAGAGCAGTTGTGTGGTGTATCATTAAACTTTGCTACTGTGTCAAAGTGTGTACCCTACTTGGTAAAAAAAACCCAGCTCGGAATAATCGATTTCATTGGATCGTTTTTAAATTCGATAGGGCACTTTTGTCTTTTTTCGTGGTGAACGTGTTATAGGACATTTTCGACATCTTCAATTGATTTGCAAACGTATATTCATAATAATTTAAGAAAATAAGCTAATAAATTATGAGTGATTTTCACGGCGGAGATACAGAAAATAACTTTAGAGGAAACCATCACGATTCGAACGGAGACACCAACATGGGAACACCGTCCGGAAATGATGAACGAGCTTGTGATGGTTATGAAAAAACTGAAAGTGCTGGTGACAGACATAGACGCTCTTCGCGTTCTAGATCAAAGGATAAAGACAGGGATCGTAATCGAAGAAAAAAGTAAGTTTTTTAATGATTAAATGATGCATTTTCAAGCGAACAATTAAAATATTGCTAAAAAATTGCGTTTAGATTTTGCAGTTTGTGCTTCTTCGCCACAGATTTTAATTTGTGAATGCCCCATTGATTGTGTGATGCATATGTGAAATTGTATGTACACACACATTAGAAAGCATTTCTCAATATACGACATGCATTGTCGTCTGACTGTTCGGGCATTAAAACCTAATTGTTTTGTTATACAATGTTGCACATACAATTTTTAAATTTGGATGCATATTATTTGGAGGTAGATTTACTAAAATGGCAAAATATCCTAATTTTTCTTGAAACAAACGTTTATGCCCCCTACAATGAGCGTTTATTTTAAGTCAGTCGTTATACCATTGCACATACAAAAGTACAATATTGAACCATAGTAAATGACAATCATATGAATATTAGACTGGCTGTAGCTATAGCCCGGCGACAAGGGGGTAATTTTATGAAATTTTAAGTGTTTAAGGGAAAGGTATGAGGCTTCACCACAAAAGTCATTACCCATAATTTCGTGGAATAAGTCATGTGTAACAAATGTAATCAGTTGGTAATTTTAACTTTAAATTTCTAACAACGAGTAAATGTGTTCCATTGTTGGTACGGCCAACCAAGATAATATGGGGTTTATAATTTTGTAAGCGCAGTCCTGCGAGCGGGCCGCGATTTCTTTCTCTTAGTAATTGGATTTTTTAATTGAATAAAAGAAACCCCTTGTGAATACATCCCAACTTAATTTTCGTTTAAAAGATACAGTTTTATTTGGTGGTAATCAGGGGCGTTAGAACGCCACTAACAACCTGGAAATACACCAAAAATTAACAGGACTTAGGAGACCCATTACTCGAAACATTATTATTTCTTTTCCTCACACAAAAAATAAAATAATAATAAAGCTCAAAGATATAAAATAGTGGATTTTTTTTGAATATGCAGCGACTAAACATCTCTTTTTTATTTATATTTTTGCAGAGACCGTTCAAGAGACCGGGATCGCGAAAAAGATAAAGACAGAGATAGAGAGCGCGGTCGCGATCGTGACTACAGAAAAGCAAGTCGTGATCGTGACCGTTCCAGTCGCGATCGGGATCGGGATCGTGCTAGTCGCGATCGTACAAGTCGAGATCGCGATCACAGAAGACGTGACCGAGATCGTGATTCACGAGCACGTCGAAGTCGTTCTCGCACATACGATGACTATGATGCTCGCCGTGGTAGTAGCCGTCGTGATCGCAGCCGTGATCGTCGTCGCGACCGAGATCGGGAACGTTCGCGAAGTCGTAGTTATGATAGACGCAAGTCACGTACAAGTCGCGAACGTAGCAGCCGTAGAAGTCGCGACAGAAGTGTGTCCAGAGAACGTTCTGAACGTATGCATTTGGAATCCATCAAAGAGGAGGTTTCCAGAGATAGTCGTTTCGATCTGACACAGACCATACAAGAACTTATGAGCAGCACAACAAATGCTAAGAACTTTGCAGCATTGTTCTCTTGCAATAACAGCAATGATTCAACGTCAAATGGTCCAACGGACTGCAATAGTCGTAAGTTCAAATTTATTCAATTTTTGTTGCAAAGGCTAGTAATAACTTCTTGTTTTGCAAATTACAGAAGAGAGTGAAAGAAAACGTCGCAAAAAATCGCGCTGGGGAGGCACTGAAAATGATAAGACTTTTATACCCGGTATGCCGACTATTCTGCCACCAACATTGGATCCTAAACAACAGGAAGCTTATCTAGGTAATTTTCTATTTCATTATGTTTTACACAATTCTACATACAACATATATGCATAAATAGTTTTGAGGTTAAAGTGTAGTAGTAATAATAAGAACACCAACAACAACATCAAGTAAGTTCAACATTTAAACATTCAATTCAACTTCAAAAGCCAAGAGGAAGAACGTAAAAGACAGGCAGCAATCAACAAGAACAACAACAGTGGAAACTATCGAATGATCAATCCCACGGCGGCCGGTTCTATGTACCGGATTGACTCGGAGGCACATTTCTCCGACCAGGGGCCGCCAACCCAGCAAATACATGTTCGTGTTCGTCCATTTTTCTGATGTGGGAGCAACATTACCCGGAATGTTTGCTCCGTATTCTCTTGGTCCGAGCCGGGATCGAGACCAACCCCGGACCATGGTTCTGCTCCGTTTGTCGTAATCGCATCCACCACAGATCGGTTTCGGTGAGATGCAACGGATGCATGGAGTGGGTGCATTTCCGGAATTGTTCCGGCCTAAACCGGATACAGGAGTATAGCGATAGGGACTACATTGCTTCCTGCTGCGTCAATGTAGACCCCAGTGAGTCTTCATCTTCGGCGTCCTCATCGTCGTCGCAATATGAGACTCCCCCGCAATCTCCTCAACAGCAATCTACGCAGCAGCTGACGCCACACATTGCTGTTCAAGTTCCGGACAATGCATCATTTCTCCAATTTAATTGTGATGGTCTCAGAGGTAAGATCAATGAAATTGTAAGCTTTATGAGTCGGAAGAACATCAAGGTCGCAGCGATCCAGGAGACGAAGCTGAGTACCACCTGCAGGCTTCAAAGTTGTGATGGATACAACGTACTAAGGAAGGATCGCTCCAGAGGTGGAGGTGGAGGATTAGCGTTCCTATTGCACCACTCTGTCCAGTACAGACCTATCTCGCCTGAGCTTGACTCTAGTGACCCGTACATGGAATGTATGGGGGTAGCGGTCAAGTGTGGAACCGCCGAGGTAGAGGTGCTCAACGTGTACATTCCGCCGTTAAATAGCTGTGCCCCACGTTATATGCCTAATATCAGTTCACTACTGGTAGGCAATAACCGTCTGGTGCTAGGGGATTTCAATGCCCATCATGAATTATGGCATTCCGTCCTAGGTAATGACCAGAGAGGCATGGCGCTGGCTGAGCAAATCGATAGCTCCACGTTTTGCACAGTGAATGAGGACGCGCCCACCAGAATAAGGGGAGACTGCCACAGTTCTCCGGACATATCCATCGTGTCCCCAGGTCTGACGAATGACGTAACTTGGCAATCAGTCATTTCTCTAGGCTCAGACCACCTCCCCATTATTATCGCCATCAATAGACCACCCGACTTCATCGACTCTGAACGCCGCACTTTCCTTAACCACGGGAAAGCTAATTGGCAAGAATTCAGAGAGTATACCAATCGCCGCTTCAGAGAACTGCCCAACCCATCTGATGTTCAGGTAGCAGATAGGTGTTTCCGGGACATCATCAAAGCTGCAGCCGCTCGCTATATACCTGCTGGTCGAATACCTGAAATAAGACCAAACTTCCCAGCAGAGGCAGCGGGATTAGCAAACGAGCGAGATGAGCTTCGCCGTACTAACCCTAATAACCCCAGAGTCAGGGAACTTACTCTGGAGGTAAACAGGTTAGTAGGTGAGCATAAGCGGAAAAAGTGGCTAGAACATCTGAAGCATTGCAACATCGGTACCGGAACGAGTAAATTGTGGGCAACGGTTAAGTCGCTTTCGAACCCTGGAAAAAAGGACGATCGGACATCTGTCTCATTTAACGGCGTAGAAGTGACAGATCCGAAGAGGTGCGCGTGTTATTTTAACCGGCAATTTGTAGAGCACCCCGAGAGTGACAGGGCGAAGAGAAGGATACTACGCCGTGTACGATCCCTTCCAGCCGAGGAGGTACCACCACAATTTACGTTGGCAGATGTTGCACAGGTCATCAGAAGCGCAAAGTCATCCAAAGCGCTTGGTCCTGACGGAATCTCAATGGTGATGTTGAAGCAACTGGATGAACCAGGAGTTGAGTATCTGACAAAGCTTCTCAATCTGTCGTTAGCCACCCTAGTAGTTCCCGATGCCTGGAAAATGGGCAGGGTGGTCCCGCTACTGAAGCCAGGCAAGGATGCCAGCAAAAGTGATTCATACAGGCCGATATCACTTTTGTCACCAGTAGCAAAGACGCTTGAGGCTTTACTCCTCCCCAGCATAAGAGAGTGTTTCCCAGTAGCCGATCATCAACACGGATTCCGAAAATTGCATAGCACAACAACAGCTTTACACGCCATTTCCACACATGTCAGTAGAGGTCTCAACCAGAACAGGCCGTGCGATAGAACAGTTATGGTGGCACTTGATTTATCAAAAGCCTTTGATACAGTCAATCATGCCACACTGTTCGAGGACATTGAACGCACCACCCTCCGGCCAAGTTTGAAACGTTGGATAGTAAACTACATGTGTGGACGCCAGTCGTACGTGGAATTCAGAAACAAGAAGTCGAGCATCCGTAGAGTTAAACAGGGAGTTCCCCAAGGTGGGGTGATATCTCCGGAACTGTTTAACCTCTACCTTTCTGAAATTCCACGCCCTCCAGACGGCATAGAGATTATTACGTACGCAGATGATTGTACGCTCGTGGCGTCCGGACCCATTATTGATGACATTTGCGATCGGTTGAACGCTTACCTTGTTGATCTTACCGCCTTTTTCACTGCGAGGAATATGAAGATATCCGCCACTAAGTCGACGGCCACACTTTTCACCACATGGACTGCGGAGATGGGGCTATCCTTGAATGTGCAGGTCGATGGTGCTCTTATTCCGACCACCAACTACCCCAAGGTATTAGGGGTCACATTCGATAGCCTCTTTAAGTCGTCCGCGCATACCACAGCTATCTGCGACAAGATTAGAAGTAGGAACAAGGTCCTCAAGTCTCTGGCCGGCAGTACTTGGGGAGCTGATAAGGAGACCTTGTTGACCTCTTACAACGCGATAGGCCGGTCTGTGGTAAACTATGCGGCTCCAGTGTGGTCCGCTAACGTCAGTGCTACGCAGTGGAAAAATGTTCAGTCCTGCCAGAATGCCGCCCTTAGAACCGCAACAGGGTGCCTTCTCATGACACCCGTCGATCACCTACATGAGGAGGCGAAGGTCTTACCGGTGCGACAGCATAACAAAATGCTGTCAATGCAATACCTGCTTGGGTGTTATAGACAAAGCCATCCAAATCACCATCTTGTGGATAGGCAACCTCCGCCCAGGCACGTTAGGAAAGACCTTCATGATCTAGAGAGAGAGGTACAGAGGTATAAGAGAGAGCCTCTAGATCAACAGGCCTATCAAGCGGGACTGAATAGTATTCACTCTAATGCGGTCTCAGAAGCCATTGAAGGATATAGAGTGAATACTGTGCTAGGAGACCATCCCCCTCCCGTCGCAGCTGAAGAACGAGAGCTGCCCCGACAAACCCGAGTAGTCTTGGCTCAATTACGATCCGGATGGTGCAGCCGCCTAAATTCCTACTGGGCCCGGATCAACGGCGAAGTGCAGAACATCTGCCCAGCATGTGGCACAGGCCCACATGACACGCTGCATTTATTTCGCTGCCCAGCCAAGCCTACTCACCTAACTCCAGTCTCGTTATGGACTCAACCCATACAGGTTGCATCCTTTTTGAGACTGGACTTAGAGGCAGAACCGGATTGAATTGAGTTAGAAAATGGAAACCAAACGAACACATATGTATGAGCTGCTACAACAACAACTATCGAATGATCCAGTCATTTTGCGGTCTGTTGTGGAAAACTAAACAAATATTCTAAACATTGTTTTTGCACTAAACATAAAAACTAATAAAACATTCTTCGTTTTCTTTTTGAAGGCAAACAACTTATTTATAAAACACAAAATCAAAACAAAATTTCTACGTTCCATCCCTACAAAAGGATCTGAAGATACAATACAAAACGAATTACCCGGAAGTTTGTTTTCGCACACTGTTACGAAGAAAAAACCTTCAATGCAATACTACTAATGTTTTAGTTTTCTTTTTAGAGTGTTGGTCTTGGTGTAAACAAAAAAGATCACATTGAAAGGGTTTTGCAAGTGATTAGATATATTCTTAATTTATGTTAATACTTTTTTAAGTTTATTTTCCTCAGTACGTTACCTGAAATGAGCCCTACAATGTTGTATAACTCCATCAACGGTTAAACTTGATATCAAATTTAACAATGTTTAATCTTATATGTTTTCAGTTTTTGTATAATTTATAATCCATTATAATTTCAAATACAATTTACTAATAATGAGGCTTTTTGCCTCTTTTTTTCTTTCTTCTTTTTCTAACCCAAACTTTTAATTACAGTTCAACTTCAAATAGAGGAAATAAGCCGTAAGCTGCGTACTGGCGATTTGGGCATACCACAAAATCCAGAAGAAAGGTTTGCATTCTATATTTAAGTTATTTTTTATGATTATTATTTAAGATAAGAGACAAATACTTATCAAGCTTTTTATCGTCAGTTTTAAATGGAAGCAAGTGTGGAAGCAGATGTATTTTTTATCAGGTATGAAATGGGACGAGTGCCAATGGGGGTTTGGATAATCATTTTTTTTAGCGAATTGTTAGTGTGGAAAATGTTCTATCAGCAAGTTATATGAACAAATAATCAAGATCCAATTACAACACTTCAAGATCAGTTGTGAATTTTCATTTGATTCCAAATATTTTGAGATACAACTTCTAAGATATGTAATTTACAACTAAGAAAATGTGTCGATTTTGCTTGTCGATGCTTTCTTTTAGTTTGCTCAGAATAACCTTGCAAGAAACAAATATTGCAATGAATGAACATAATGTTATGCTGTCTTTAATGTTTGACCTCTGAATTTATTAGCAAAATATGAAATAAAGTTAAAATAATGCGATTCGAGGGAATTTATTAAATAATACAAGAAACTTAATCAAATATTATTTTGTCAATGACCCGAAAGGTTATCAGTGCATTTTTTTGATCACATTGACTTAATAAATTTTAATATTGCAACCCGACTCAAACATGTGAATGCAAAGATCGTTGCTTCAATTGTAAATTGTTCAGCTTTATTAGTATAGCGGACAAGTGTGGAATGTGTTGGCTTAAGATCCCAACTCTTTCCCATAGATTTTTCTATTAGTGGAATGTTTTTCCATTTCAAAAATGTTTTTTTCATTTTACGCTGCCAGGTGAATGATTACATCTCAGTCTTTGTCAGGTTGACTCGTATAGCTTTGGTACAACAAATTCATTTTTATTTCCTCCACCATAGTATGAAGGATTTATTAATTTTGACACTTTGTTATTAACTCTTTGAAACTTTGTAAATTTAGTACGTGCATTTTTAGCCTCCACCATACTAAGCAGGGTATGTATATTAATTCCGTTTGTAACTCCTCGAAGTATGAACTTGGGACCGCATAAAGTATATGTAGATCAAATTTCTGTTTGTCTGTGGAAGTCACTCTAGCTTCCGAACAGAATTATGGTAGTTAAACGAAATTTGACTAACATTAATTGTAGGTCCATTAACTTGTTGGTATTGAAAATGGGCCATATCAAAGCGCGAATCTAGTTTTGGTTTAGTCCCCATATAACTATACCTGCAGATTTAATGTGTTTTGGGTATTTTAATTATAATTTTAAAGCGAACTTACTGTAAATTGACAGATTTTGTTCCCTGTATATATGATTGCAGAGAACTGTCCACATGGGTCCATCTTTTGGTATAGACCTTCATATAACTGTACCTCCACATATACTGTAGTTTGCTGATTTGTGTCACCCTTTGCACCGAAATACTTTCAAATCTGGTATTCGTATTGGGTACAACCTTCCATATCAGAAAATTGTCCATACAGAGGTCAAAGTCTTCGTATAGTTCCTATATGGCGGCACTTCCCAATATTCACCATTTCAATGAATTTTGTAACATTATTTAATGGAGTTAATTGGAAATTGGAATTTGTCATTTCTGTGCCACACGTCTGACAGCAGTTAAAATTATTCCAGTGACAGCTCATTATATAGTTTACGAACGAAAAGCATTTTGGTGAGAATTTTCCAGAAAAAAGTTCAAGCGTGATAGCGTGGTCAAAGTCTTCGTATAGTTCCTATATGGCGGCACTTCCCAATATTCACCATTTCAATGAATTTTGTAACATTATTTAATGGAGTTAATTGGAAATTGGAATTTGTCATTTCTGTGCCACACGTCTGACAGCAGTTAAAATTATTCCAGTGACAGCTCATTATATAGTTTACGAACGAAAAGCATTTTGGTGAGAATTTTCCAGAAAAAAGTTCAAGCGTGATAGCGTGATTGCTTTATACTTGGCTGGAAAACCACAAGTGGCTATCGTTAGAGCACCGTGATACTGGTAGCGTAGCCAGACGTCAAGGAAGTGAACGGAAGAAAACAGCAACAGCAACACCAGTAGAAATGGTTCGAAAAGTAAAGAAGCGACTTGATCGAAACCCGCGTCCCAGTGGCCGAAAATGGCTCGTGAACTGAACATATCGCAATATTCCATTAGGCAAATATTGAAAAATGAGCTCGGGGCAAAGCCATTGAAATTCCAAAAAGTGCAAGACTTACACGGCAACGGGAAGAAAATAGACTTAAAAGAGCTAAAGAGTTGCTTCGTTTGGCCGAAAATGGTGAACTGCCGAATTTGGTTTTCTCCGACGAGAAAACATTCCTTGTCCTGCAGTTTGTAAACAAACAAAATTATCGTGTTTACTTGCCAAACAGTTCAGCTGAAAATGTGCACGTTCGGTTGGCTACCAGAACTCAAGCGCTGGCCATGGTGATGGTGTGGATCTCCATAACAGCCGATGGTCGCTCTCCGCTCGTGTTAATCGACCGTGGCATCAGAATAAATGCCGAATATTATCGTGAAATATTCTGAAGGGTGTATTAAATCCTTGTTCACGCCAACATTTTGGCCGCAGACCTTGGACATTCCGACAGGACTCAGCACCATCACACTCAGCACACGCCACCCAAGAATGGTTACAAAATGAGGTTCCTCGCTTCATTTTCGGCGCACAATGGCCACCAAAATCTCCGGATACCAATCAGTTGGACTATTGTGTCTGGAGTATTTTGGGAAGCATGGCTGGCACTAAAAAATACCAAAGTGTCGATCTCCTCAAGCAAGCGCTTCGCGGGAATGGCTGCAGAGCAACATTCTGGCAGCGTGTGATGGTTTCATTGGCCGTCTAAAGGCCATAATTCGTGACAAAGGTGTCCAATTTGACTTAAAGTAATTCTAAAGTTTGATGCTATTTCTGACCTTTTTCGCTTTCGTTCAATGAATTAAAAAAAATGTAAAAATATGGCGTTTGACTTTGTTGCAGTTTTTTTATCTCACCCTGTATATGGGCCCAGATTTAAGTATAGCCACAATATAAATCTAACCTAAAGTTATTCGTACTTTGATAATTTGTCTATGACAGCAAATTACCTTTGAAAGTCCTCATCGAAATAACGGGTTTAGACCTCTTTGGGTTTAGAACTCTTTTAGGTCTCTTTGGGTGAAATCCGTTACAAGACATTTGAAATCGATCTGACTGCTGGCTGGTGTGCACCATAACTCTCGATGTGAGTATCCGATCCAAGTTCAGAACTGGGCTACATCGGTCCACTCCCTCTGGCACCTCCCCTACAATATGTCAAACGTTTCACAGAAGATAATCAACATCCTAGAACAAGAAAGGATCATCAAATTTTGTTCAAATGTATCAGTGCTTGATTAGGTGCGAAAATGCACAAAATCTGCAGACTCCATCAAGTTCCTCCCCCACGAAAGGTCAAAATTTTGAATAACCATAACTCTTATAAACTGCGAAATAAGATCTGGTGTGAAGATGGGATATAGCCGACCACTCTTTTTGGCAACCCCCCTTCACAAAGAGTCAAAATTTTGAATTTTTTTTAAATCATAATTTGCAGGTCAGGTCAACTATAGATCTAATAAATAATAATATTTACCACTAATCACGTAAAATTGGAAATATGAATATTTCCACATCCCAATATTTTTATCAGTATTATATGAAGTATTAAATGGTATACATCGACCGCACTTTCAGATACGTCCCCCAAAAAAGTTCAATATTTTCCAAGAAATATAGTCTATACATAGCCTAAACCTGGCACGTCGCAATATTTATATCAGACTTACAAATTAACTTTTTTTCGAAACCAAGTTATATGAAATGGAACTAATCGACTATTCAATGTGATTAATTTTATGTTTAGATTTCATTGCATTTATTTATTGTTATATTGACTAAACTGAATTGGTATTTTTAGCAACGAATATTACAATTACAATGTTGCAGCACTAATTACTTTGCGAATGTAATCTTTGAAATTATCAGTTCGTTCCCACAGTTTATACTCTTCCACGTTGTTTATTATGGGACGAATAGGGTGAAAACTCCTTGAGTAAACTCCACTCATATAAAAATTGAAATCGATCATCATTAAATGGATAATACATCCCTGGCTTTTTTTTTTATTTTTTAATTAATTCTTGATCACTTATTTCAACTTGTAGGAAAAATTGTAAAAAATAGTATACGGAACAGGACTTAGTTTCTATATTGAGTTGATACAACTTTGCCCAACAAGACAATGTTAGCCAGCAGTATTTTAAAAACTGAAATATTTAGGTCCTCACTGTATTCTTCTTGGTGGCAGGTGTGAATGGGTTGTATATGTCGTTGTTTTTTATATAATAATTTAATTTCATATTATTTCCAAACAGAGGGATAATGAATGTTGTCGCTTGGTTGGTAATTATCACCATTTAAACTACTTCAAGTATACATTACTAATTGTTGTCTACTTCTCCTCCTCCTTGAAAATATCTAGGTGAAAAAGTGTTCCAAAATAAAAAGTGATTGATCTCAATTTCGGTAGAATCTAACGCACGGGTGTACTGTTCATGTAAGCAAAGTACTGAACACATTAGTTATATGCTAATCATAATGCTTTCTAATAAATACAATTTTCTCTTTTCTAAGGACAAAATACAGAAAACTCACACACACTCTATCGCGCTGTATACATATATAGAAAGAAAGAAAACGTGGACGGCCACAATAAGAGTTACAGCAGTCAGTAATAATTACTTAGAGTAACGAATCAATCAAAACGAGATTTAATTTTGCTAAAAATAAGAGATATTAATCAAAATTTTTCTTTTTCCTTCCCCCGCTCAACTTGCCAAAGAAGCGTGAATTGAGAAGCGACAGCGGTTTTTGAGTGCCTTAATTCTAATCCAATTACGATGATATTTTTTCTATTAATGCTAATTAATAATCATAATCATAATAATCTAATCAACGTTTTACAGGACATTAATTAGGAATTAATTATAATTTGATTTAAATTTTCAGCAAAAAGAATTTTGAAATGAAGAAGGGGTATATTTTATTATTTGCTAATTCCATATTTGTTTTTTCTATTTCATTCAATAGGTCTCCTTCGCCGGAACCAATTTATAGCTCTGATGGCAAACGTTTGAATACCAGAGAATTCCGTTATCGCAAGAAATTGGAAGATCAGAGACACCAATTGATACAGAAAATGCAAACGGTTAATCCAGATTTTAAACCGCCAGCTGATTACAAGTAAGTCGCATAGAAATTATATAAATCCTGTTTAAATTTGCTAATCTTAATTCTTTTTTTTAGGCCCCCAGTTACAAGGGTCATTGATAAAGTGTTGATACCACAGGAACAACATCCTGATATTAACTTTGTGGGACTTTTGATTGGACCGCGTGGTAATACTTTGAAGGCCATAGAAAAAGAAACGGGAGCCAAAATTATTATACGAGGAAAAGGTTCGGTTAAAGAGGGAAAAGTTGGACGTAAAGATGGCCAACCTATGGCTGGGGAAGATGAACCACTGCATGCTTTTATAACTGCATCAAATCCTGAGGCTGTCAAAAAGGCCGTGGATAAAATCAAAGATATCATACGCCAGGGCATTGAGGTACCCGAGGGCCATAATGATTTACGTCGCATGCAATTGCGCGAATTGGCCCAATTGAATGGTACTCTACGAGAAACCGATTGTCCCCGTTGTACTAATTGTGGCTCAACGGAACACAAATCTTGGCTTTGTCCAGATAAACCCAATGTTACAAACAGCATTGTTTGTACTTCTTGTGGAGGAGCTGGTCACATCTCTAAAGATTGTCGTAGTAAACGTCCCGGTGCCGGTGTACCTGGAGAGGAGAATGAAAATTCTCAAGCTAAAATTGATGAGGAATACTTGAGTTTAATGGCTGAGCTAGGTGAGGGACCACCACCATCTGCAGCTCCGAAAAATCAACCTGATCCATTGGCCCAGGTACATATTAATCGTGGTTATAGCATATTCGATAAGAAACCAACCACAATGCAAGCCATACAGAGTGCACCACCACCGCATAATGCTGTGGCTCCACCACCACCCATTCCATCAGCATGGGGAACTGCAAACCCTCCACCCGTGGCAATGCCACCGTTGATTCCGCCACCACCTACTACCCAACCGCCAACACCGGCGGCTCCACCACTTTTGCCATGGATGAGTGCACCACAGCCGCCACCACCAGGTGGAGACCCACCACCACCGCCAGGTACTGGACCATTGCAACCACCCGGCACAGGACCTATGCCACCATTATTGCCGCCACCACCAGGAACCGGCTTGCCACCATGGCAGGCACCACCGGGTATTTTACCGCCACCAGGTTTTCCGGCATGGGGAGCCGGTGCTCCCGGAGCATATGCTCCACCACCGCCTCCACCATGTGCACCACCGCCACCAGGCATTGGTACTTTAGCACAACCTCCACCACCACCACCACCATCATAGACGCGTCAACCTCAATTTAGTTTGTCAATTGTCGAGTAACTTTAAAAGTGCTACAATCAAATTATAACTAATATATTCTTGTCAAAATAATTACCATAACTATTTCACACATGCAACCTATCTAATGTGGAAAACACTATACAATCTATGTTGTATAAAATTATTTTAAAAATTTTACTTAATTTTCATTTAGTAGACCCTATAGAAAGTGAAATTTCTATAAAATATCCTTCATATATCTAATTTAAACTCACTCCTAGTGTAGAGTAAAATAAGCGTGATACCACTGAACAGCATTATATTATCTTTGCCATTCAAAACAATCAAAATTTCGATATGTTTGTCAAACAACCGGAATTTAAAACCAAAATTAATTTTTTTGCTGTTTGATGTCTATCTATTTGACTTTGATATCTCAATTGTAATCTAACATTATGATCTAAATAACATGATTTCAATAAACCATAGTGACGTTAAAATGCTTTGCGTATATTTTATATATCCTGGGCTTTAGAGAGTTTTCTGACATTTAAACAAGTAAAAAAGCTGTACTTTAAATACCCTCCACCATTTGGAACGAATTTGGCAATTCTCAAAACAATAAAATACGTTACATATTCTGTTAAAATCTTTAAAATACCAATGTAGCTGTTATATTAGGGTCTACACGACGACATCATCAAAATACCGCATATCGGGAGGTACCATAATGTGGGGGCTATACGAAGACGTGGACCTGCACAGACAATTTTCCGTGTTAGGCTGTAGTATCCATTATGAACTTCAAATACCAAACTTGAAACAATTCCGGTCAATAATGTCGCTAAAATCATTGAAATACCGAATATCGGAAGGTACCGTTGTATGGGTGCTCTAAGAAGACGTGGACCTGTACAGACAATTTTCTGTCTTGGGTTGTAGTATCCATTACGGACTTCAAATGCCAAATTTGAAACAATTCCGGGGAATAATGTCGCTAAAAGCATAAAAATACCGAATATCGGCTATACGAAGACGTAGACCTGCACAGACAATGTTCTGTCTTAGGCTGTAGTATCCATTACGAACTTCAAATACCAAACTTGAAACAATTCCGGTGAATAATATCGCCAAAATAATCAAAATTCCGATTATCAGGAGGTACCGAGGGGGCTATACAAAAACGTGGACCTACATGACCCATTCTCAATACCAAAAGTCCTGCAGACATAACATACATTTGACTAAAATTTTATTAATCTACTTCAATTTGTTCGGAAGCTAGAGTGATTTCCACAGACGGACGGACATCGCTAAATCGACATAGAATTTTATGATGATCAAGAATATATATACTTTGTGGGGTCTAAAATGTATATTTCGATGTGTTACAAACGGAATGACAAACTTAATATACTCTCTATACTATGGTGGAGGGTATAAAAAGGGTAATGTGCACGTGTCTGCTGCGAACTGTTTCTGTATTTTGCTGCTCAATTAGAAATTTTAAGAAATCACAAATCTAATTCACGGAATTGAGTGCATGTTTCAGGCCTTGCTTAAAAAAAAAAAAACAAAAAAGGAAAAAAACAATACATCGGCTCTTACTCCCAATTTTCAAAGTAAACGAAGTTAGTCAATTAAGATATTTCTATCTCTAGAGTCTCCTTTTCTTAGTATGGAACCTCCAAACCTCCTGTGTACACAGACTTTCCACCTCCTCGTATTTGCAAAAGAGTTTCATAATTTCCAGCTTGTAGTAAGTACCGGATTGCAAAACACTACTATGGGTTTGACGGGGACATGACAATGGTGTGCAATTCATATACTCATGGAATACCTAAACACTTTCTTACAATTCCACTGCATAAAATAAAATTCCACTCTTTGTTATTTACTTTGGATTTTCCTTTTTCGCCGTCTCTTTATTTATTCGCACAATCTAAAAATAAACTTAAAAAACTTGAATTTTTTTTCAAAACCAAATCGAGATAACTTGCATGGATTGAGTGAAGGATTTCTTAGAAGTACTTCAAGCAATCACGCTCCCAAAACAATCTAACCATGCTTATTGAAATATTCTTTGGATTGTTCGACATCGGGCTTAATTGTGTCAGGGTTCGATTCGGGATTCCAATTGGCGGGGCAAACTTCACCGTGTTTTTCCACAAATTGGAATGCTTTAATCAAACGCAAGACTTCATCGACGGAGCGACCAACAGGCAAATCGTTGATGGAATATTGGCGCACAACACCGTTGGGATCAATGATGAATGTACCACGCAAGGAAATGCCTTCATTTTCCAAAAGGACACCATAATCGGCGCTAATCTGTTTGGTAATATCGGCTAGTAGGGGATATTTCAGGCCACCAAGACCGCCATTTTTACGCTCCATATTGGACCAGACCAAGTGTGAAAAATGTGAGTCCACAGAGACGCCCAAGACTTCGGCATTTAGATCTTTGAATTCTTGAATGCGATCGCTAAATGCAATGATTTCTGTGGGGCATACAAAGGTGCTAAAAAATAAAGGTCAGCATAATTAATACTTGGTAATTTTTAGAAAAAATGTATCAAGCTTACAAGTCAAGAGGATAGAAGAACAAAACCAAGTATTTGCCGCCATAATCGGAGAGCTGAACATCTTGGAAATCGTTTCCCAAAACTGCAATACCCTTGAAATCTGGGGCTGGTTGTTGAACTTTGACAGCCAACAGGGGTGAAGCTGCAAGTTAAAAACAATGGAAATTAATGGCAACATTGACATGCAAATTGCAGACCTACTTACTTTGATGCAACAGACGTCTGAAGCTGTTATTCACATTTTGTTGCTTGGCAAGTTGTTTGCCAACTTGAGGAAGCTGAAATAAATAGATGTTTTTGTTTATTATAATTGCGATTACGTAATGAGCGGGTACTTAGTAATTCTTATGTTACTCTATTTGCAAGGGACCCAATGTTGGCAAAGACAATTCCAATTAGACTCTTAATTGATTTCACAATAATTTCTTATTGCTTTCACTTACAGTTCTTAGCAAGGTTCTGGTCAAGAAAGACATTTTTCTGGTGTGATTTATTCAAGCTACAGTACTGAATCAATTTCCTGATGAAATGATGATAAGTTTAATGTCTATTCGCCGGCTATCGTCGCTGCTGATTTCCTTTCACAAAGAAATAACAACAAACTAGGAATATGTACGATGATTCTCGATTAATCGAACCCCCCTTGAGAACTATCTTTTAGGGTAGTTCACACTTTAACAGCTGTGGCAAGTTATCGATAAACAATTGATCAAAATGAATTCTTTTATCGATAGTGATAGGAAGAGGAAATTCAAACGATTGAGAAATTAACGGAATTTGGGATCATATTAGTTATTTTATTGTAAAGGTTATTTAGTACGTTTGTGAATGGCAAAATTATATTCAAGGTAGGATCTAGAAATCATTATAATACAATTTTTCAAGTAAAAGATCGCGATCAAAAGATCAAGTAAAAGATAGCTTTATTAACACAACATCTGGGAATGACAAAATAGACAAAATTTAAAATGCTTTACATTTTTAGTGTATTTATGCAAAAACAAGTAAAAAAATCGTAAGTTCGGCCGGGCCGAACTTTGAATACTCTCCATCATTTGGAACGAATTTGGCAATTTAAAAAAAAAAAAATAAAATCCTTTAAAACTTCTCTTGAAATCGTAAAAATGCCAAATGTTGCTGTCATATTGGGGTCTAAACGACGACGTGGACCTGCATAGGCAAATTTTGTCATAAGCCACTACAATATTCAAATGCGAAAATTAAAAAAAAAAATCGGTGAATAATGTAGCTAATATCATCAAAATACCGAATATCGGGAGGTACCGTTATATAGGGCTATGCGAAGACGTAGACCTACAATTTTCTGTCTCAAGCTGTAGTATCCATTACGAACTTCAAATACCAAATTTGAAACAATTCCGGCGAATAAAATCATCAAAATACCGAATATCGGGAGGTACCGTTATATTTGGGTTATACCAAACCGTGGACCTACATGGGACATTATTCTTTTCATATCTGGAGTCGATATAGGGGTGTCCGTCCGTCCGTCTGTCTGGCTGGTACGCACGATAACTCTTGAAGGGAGTATCCCAACTTGTTACATCGTAATATTTAGTCAAACTTAGAATGTGTTTGGAGATGAACAATATCGGTCCACCCCTTCTAATACCTTCCCCACCCAATGGTCAAACTTTTTATAAAAAACAATTTCTGGCATAGAACAAGAAAGGATCCTCCGAATTTCAAACTTTGTAAATCTCAATACTTGTATCAGTGCTATTTCTGGTGCGAAAATTGACAATATCGACAATATTGACAATATATTTCACACAGAAATACATTTTTGCTAACACAAGATCTGTTGTGAAGATGATATACAGGGTGACATGGAAAAACTGCAACGAACTTCAGACTGCTGTCATTTCTGAGCCACTTGTCTGACAGCTCTTAAAGTATTCCAGTGACAGCATATTATATTGTTTACAAGCGAACAAAAGCGTTTTGGTGAGAATTTTCCAGAAAAAATGTTATTCGTGATGGAATTTAAGCGTGATAGTGTGATTTCTTTATATTGGACTGGAAAATCACAAGTGGTTGTCGTTAGAGCACTCTAGCACTTAAATGTGAATAAATCTTTTGTGTCTCGTACCATCGCTCGTTACCGTTATACTGGTAGTGTAGCCCGATGTCAAGGAAGTGGACGGAAGAAAACAGCAACACCAGCAGAAATGGTTCGAAAAGTAAAGAAGCGACTTGATCAAAACCCACATCGCAGTAGCCGAAAAATGGCTCGTGAGCTGAACATATCGCAATACTCCATTCGGCAAATATTGGAAAATGAGCTCGGGGTAAAGCCATTGAAATTCCAAAAGGGCCGAAAGTGGTGAAATGCCGAATTTGGGTTTCTCCGATGAGCAGATTGTAAACAAACAAAATGATCATGTTTACTTGCCAAAGAGATCAGCTGAAAATGTACACCTTCAGTTGGCCACCAGAACTCAAGCGCCGGCCATGGTGATGGTGTGGGCCGCCATAACAGCTGATGGTTGCTCTCCGCTCGTATTAATCGACCGTGGCATTAGAATAAATGCCGAATATTATCGCGAAAATAATCTGAACGGTGTATTAAAGTCTTGGACACGCAAACATTTTGGCCGCAAACCTTGGACATTCCAACAGGACTTAGCACCATCGCACTCAGCACACGTAACCCAAGAATGGTTCCAAAATGAATTTCCTCGCTTCATTTCCAGTGCACAATAGCCACCAAAATCTCCGCATATCAATCCGTTGGACTATTGTGTCTGGAGTATATTGGAAAGCAAGGATGGCACTAAAAAATATCAAAGTGTCGATCACCTCAAGCAAGCGCTTCGCCTGGAATGTACCAAAATACCGCAGAGCAAGAATTAGGGCATCGTGTGACGGTTTCATTAGCCGTTTGAAGGTTATAATTCGTGCCAAGGTGACCAATTCGAACAAATCTAAACTTATTCTAAAATTTGATGCTATTTCCGACTTTTTTTTGCCTTTATTCAATAAAATTAAAAAAAAAAACAAATTTAAAAATTATGGCGTTTGACTTTGTTGCAGTTTTTTTATCTCATCCTGTATAACATTTTTCATATAAAGTTAAGGAAGTAGTCCATATAGTCTAAACTTGGAACGTCGCAATATTTATATCATATTCATTAAGGTCCGACAATATTGCCCCAATGGACAATATTGGTCCATTCCTTCGGACCAATAATTTGAATAATCATAACAGCAGCCAAAATATATTTAAATAAACGAATATTGGGTGAGGGTATTCATCTGTCGGCAAAACCGACTGATACTTGTTTAAATCAGAATTGGCACACTGCTTTACATGATGCGATTCAGTCTTTAACTAATAGGTACAATTGGTACGTTTCCCTTTCACAATTTTTTTGTATTCAGGAAATATTAATTATTGTGATTTCTCTTTCTTCGTATAGAAAACATTCTCTAAGAAATTACTAAAAAAAAACATTAAGCAATGTTGTTTAGAATCTTACCATAAGGACATTAACCCTCTTAATAATTCGTATGAATTTAGGCCAAGTGCCTTTTTAAGAGTTTCTCCCTCCCGCTTTGGCACTCACACCACCGCACACGTAATTAGACATTTTGACTGAAGTAGATAAAGCTTTTTAGTTAAAAGGCAATTAGACAATTCCCATGTTTGCGATTATACGCCATTTTTCATGCCATCACCATAGTCGTATTTTTTGGCGGGGTGGTGGCGTTTTTGGTGGCCAATATTCTCGTTGTTTGACTTCAGACTTTTGTACCCTTTTTATTTGTAATGTATGGAAAAATTAACATTTGCCTATTAACGCAACGCCGCTTAATGATGCTAAAAGTGTTGCTTGTTTGTGTTGTTTTTTTTTTTTTTTTCATTTTTTGGTTGGGAGGGGCCATAATTTCCTTGTAAATGTGAAGGAAAATGAGACGATTTTCTCCATAAATTAACTAATAAGTGCTGCTTAAAATCAGGATTGTGTTTGAAGTGTGTAATGTAATGAGATGATGTTCCCTTTTTTGTAAGAGTATTTTATACACCTTTTGATGCTAAGTTAAATAAATTAAGATTTATGAAGAAGAGAACGTGAGGGAGAGAGAGAGAGAGAGAGAGAGAGAGAGGTGTGGAACAATCATTTACCGCTGCTGATCACCTAGACAAGTTGTTAGAAAAAACTATTGTGAAATACAGTACGAAAGATACCCCACCGGGTAGGAAACGCCAATGCTTACTATTGACCGTCACCAGTACTACTGACCAAGTGTAAACAACCAATGCTTTCTTCCTATAGATATTTTGAATGAGCTTGTCATTCGGTTCAGTTCTTTCAAGGAGGTTCATATGAAGGCATTGGAACCAGAGAGTCTGTAATCCATGAGGGGTCATATGGAGACATTGGAACCAGTTAATGGAGACATTGGTGTTAAGAGTTAATTATATCCTCAGTGGCTAGAGAGAGTATACATGATACGGCCAAACGTCCCTCATCGAAATAACGATTTAGACCCTAGATCGCTTTGGACCAAATCCATTTAGGGACATTTGGAGTTGATCTAGAGATGTCCGTTTCGATCGAATTCAGAGATGCTTCACTCTTTGTGGTACTTACCCATATATACAGGGTGAGATAAGAAAAACTGCAATAAAGCCTTTGGCACGAATTATGGCCTTACCTCTGCGGTATTTTGGCCCATTCCCGGCGAAGCGCTTGCTTGAGGTGATCGACACTTTAGTATTATTTTTTTGTGCCAACCTTGCTTTCCAAAATACTCCAGACACAATTGTCTAACGGATTGGTATCCGGAGATTTTAGTGGCCATTGTGAGCTGAAAATGAAGCGAGGAACCTCATTTTGTAACCATTCTTGGTTGGCGCATTCTGAGTGCGATGGTGCTGAGTCCTGCTAGAATGTCCAAGGTTTGAGGCCAAAATGTTTGCGTGCCCAAGGCACGCACCCTCCACCCTCCACAATAGTTTCGCGATAATATTCGGCATTTATTCTGATGCCACGGTCGATTAATACGAGCGGAGAGCGAGCATCGGCTGTTATGGCGGTCCACATCATTACCATGGCCGGCGCTTGAGTTCTGGTGGCCAACCGAAGGTGCACATTTTCAGCTGACCTCATTGGCAAATAAACACGATCATTTTGTTTGTTTACAAACTGCTGGACAACGAATGTTTTCTCATCGGAGAAACCAAAAAATTCCGGAAATAGCATCAAATTTTAGAATAAGTTTAGATTTGTTCGAATTGATCACTATCGGCGCGAATTATGGCCTTCAAACGGCCAATAAAACCGTCACACCCTGCCCGAATTTTGCTCTGTGGTACTTTTGGGACATTCTCGGCGAAGCGCTTGTTTGAGGTGACACTTTTGTATTTTATAGTGCCAACCTTGCTTTCAAAAATACTCTAGACACAATAGTGCAACGGATTGATATCCGGAGATTTTGGTGGCCATTGCGCGCTGAAAATGCCAATTCCAAACTTTAAATTAATATTTTTGCATGACAGATTTTTTATGTTTTTATAAACACAATAAAGATGTTTTCTACATATCTTGTAGATTTTTCACATCTCAAGCCACCTCTAAAACCCCATAACAAT